TTTATTTCTCTTGCACAATTCAGAGCTGAGTACAGTACGAGACGCCTCTAGGAAAATACTTAACGTCTTCTTGAAGACCTCCCAGTAATTACGTGGGTGCAATATGATTATATTAGCTGTGCGGTTTGCTGCAGAGAGAACTCAGATGAGGATATTAATATAAAGAGTGTAGGTGTTCATTTGTTGGCTGACCATCTAATTAAGCCATCGGTCTCCTTTTTCGGTCACTGATGCTTCCTCAGCCCAAAGTCCTTTTGACTCAGTTCTGTTTCCAGTCACCAACCTTTAAACCCCTCCTCACAAGCAGGCACTCAACCTGACCTGCAGGCTCGATAACTTCTCTTTTCACATATTCCCCCACAGGGCGGTCCTCGTCCATCAGGAGAAGGCGCCGTCCAAATGTCATGAATGTAATACAATGGGAATCCCGCAGGTAGATTGTTACTAGCCTGATTGAAACCTCCTGAGCACACTTATCCCCAGGTCCCTCTTCAATCAACGGCACACATAAGCAGTTAGGTTGCAAGGCTGCAGTCCTGTGGGACCAATATTAATGAAATAAAGACATAATGGAATCAAAATTGTATCCTCGAGTCAGTTGGCTCCCTTCTTTCTCCACTTTCAGCGCCCGCTGATCGCAGAATTGCAGAAGCTTTTTATGAAATCACAGATACCCAGGTGTCTTTATTTTAATCCGGCCGTGCTAGAGGACTTAAATTGGATTTTGCAGGATCAGGATTTTCTTTTTTATGTGAAAAGTAAGAAAGGGAGACTTATGCAGACACCTCTGAGGTGCGACTTTTTCCTTGCAGCTGTGGTCACTGTGTAAGTTGCAGATTTGTGGGAAAGCATTCATTGTGAAATGCTCTTATTGCGGTTGAAACATTGTGAACAGCACATTTTTCAGACCCAGAACTTCGTAATAGCTGACCTGAGCGGATGTGCTCCGTGAAAATGTACCTATTTTTGTATACAGACCTAATGGACTTAGGACTGATGTACTTTTAGGCGTCTGATTCACTTCACCAAATGTTTACCAGAACACAGAACAAAGTACATTCCAGAAAGTGTATTCTGGGAGTTACTTAAGAATATCAGTACCACTCGATATGAGGTAACTCTCTGGTTCTTCATGCCAACAACTAACATCAGTGTTGCTGATTGGTCCACACACCACCGACCACTAATCCATCCATCAGTCTTCTCCACCATTTTCTCTTCATCACCTGTTGTTAAATCTCTCCTCTCCACATTTCTACCAATGCACAGTTGTCATTTTCTTATATATTGAGGCCCGAGCTCTCTACACCCACCACTGACCGTTAAGCTTTATTGACCAGCCCAATTCTCCAGCTGGATTAAATGGTGTGTTTGAGGTGGGATGGGAATCTACCACTGGCAAATAAACCATGAAGATTCCTTGAGCAGAGAAGGAAGAGAATTTCCCTCTGGGCTCTACATAGTCTTGCATCCCAGTAGCCTGTAAATCTCAATTTTTCAATAGCTCTATGCTCGATGATTTAATGATTGGAGTAATAAAACGGGGGTTGACATGGTAGTGATGACTAGCCACCTCTAATCTGGAAGGGGGGGAGAGAGTAATTTGGAATTCCTTCCTACAATCTGACAGATGGTCGGCTCCAGTTCTTCTCCCTCAGTCTCTGAGCCGAACACGCGCAGCTCGCTCCTAGTTTGCCAAATGTGCGCCGCACGAGAGAACAAATGCAATCAAATGTGAATGCGCACAACGCCGGCCGCGGGGAATGTGTCTCTGCGTTGCATCAGGCCCAGGGGCGGTCATAGCCGCGTGTCCGCCGGTGGGAAGTGCAGCAAGACGAGGATAACAGCTTAACTTCAACATTTAGGAGAGACATTTAGGAGGACTACTTGACCTGTTGCCCTGTGCAAGGCTGGTTGGACATGGCCAAGCTCCCAGGTATTTTAAATTTATCTCAAGATGTGAAGGGCACACGCTATGTGCTTGGAGCCTCTGCACCTGCAGATAAATGCTGCGTGACTGTTTGATGAAGGTCTCTCTGTGGTTGTCTCACTCTGCTAGCAGATATAATGTGATCAATGTTAATGAATGCTCAGCTTCTGTTGAGAATGCGAGCTTGCCTGAAGTAAACCCAGCTAAGCTATTCCACTCTGTTGTATGCATCATGGCTTCGCAGCATATCTAACAAATTAAGGGGGCATTTCTGGACTCTTTTTTTCTTATTCTTTTGTCATACTGGCAGAGCAGAGGAAATATATTCCCAAAGACAGCCACAGATTCTGCCCAGAGTGCAATGCAAATAAAGAGCTCTCAAACTAGCCACCTCGCACCGCTCTCCATGCTTCTGTGTGTTCAGAGTGTTTCAGCGATTCAGTTGCATTTCCTTGGCTGTGCTGGACTCAACAGCTTTAGATTATGCATTTTGCAGAGATGGACTGAAATTGGTGATGATGAATTGGCCCAATTGCAGAGCTCCGAAGAAGAGGAACGGGGATGGGGAAAAAAGCGGAAATATTCCAGAGTTAGAAACTGGATTATAAGTAAAGATTTAAAGCTTAGACTAAAGTGCACCCATGGGAACAGTTGTGAACGTATTGTATTGCACCAGCAGTTATCTTAACATTTTTTGCATACTCACCTACAGAGGATGTCCGTTGTGGGCCCCTATAGATGGCATTAAATATTGTGTCTACACAGAGATAAACAGAAGGAGGCTCTCCCAGGCAGCCGGCAGGCGGTGCTGAGTTCAGGGCTTTTTGTGCCCCATCTATTCTGGCTGGAGTGCGAGAGGAGCTCGGGTCTCACAGCACTAGTGATTTTTGCCTTTTCTATGCTGTGCATTTAGGAGAGACAGGGTGGGTGTAGAAGGCTTTAATTCCTCATCTTTCTCTCTTCTCTGTAGCTCCTGCCCTCATCTGCAGAAAGTGTTGTTAGGCTCGGAAACAATCCGAAGGAACGAGGTGCGCATGTTACAGGAAATGTCGGCTGAGTCTGTTCCTGCCTTAATGCAGCCACCATCACTTTGCGACTTTCCGTCTCTCCCTTTGAATCAGTGGGATTACATCCTGGGGTTCACGCTCTTTATGTCATTACCTCTGCGAGCCCTGACATTAGCTGGACTAATGTGGCAGTAATCTATAATGTCCTTCCTTCTCCCGCTCGGACAAATGCATCCTCCGTCACCGGCCTGTAGAGGCTGCACCCCCCCCCCCCCCCCCCCCCCCCCACCTCCCTCCTGCTTTCATCTCAGACCGTGAATTACAATCAAAGTAAAATTTGTTTCCACAAAGAGCAGGCCTTCCTATCTGCAGAATCAAGGATGAAAGCCTTGATTAATTCCAACTACAATGTCTCAGCTTGAAAGCCTCAAACTGCACCAAAACAACATTGGGGTCTTTCTTTTAATAAAGTCTACGACTGGAAAATAGGCAATGAGGCAAAATCCTTTGAGGGAGGTATTGATTTGTTGCAGGAGATTGGATACAATCTTCCAGAAGTAGGAGGAATATTATTACATGTGCAATAGGCTTTTTTGATTTTGACCCTATGAAAGTGATTAACCTCAGCAAACATGGAGATGGTGAAAATATCTGACAGTTGTGAAATGTCTGGCGTTCATAGCTGCATCATCTTGTCTCATCAATATCTCATCAAATGTCCAAAGTGATGTTTCATGCTGTTTTTAAATACAATTTTACCTGGAGGAGCAGACAGAAATCATTTACCGCATGAGTGGATGTTGCATTTTAAAGTCGTTCATTTTTAATACATGATTTGAATCACACCCACCGACAATTAAAACTACCAGAGAGGTGACTACAGCACGTACATGCATGGAATGGCTGCTGCAAAGGAAGAATAATGCAGACTATAAAAAAATATAAAAAATAGGGTTAGAACCTGCAAGTCGGCCTTCTGTCTTTTAAATACTAATAAAAAGGATTTCCCCTCTGCAGCAGGTTTGTGCAAGCTACGAGAATACAAATGTGAAAGCAAATATTGTGAAGATATATATTTTATCTGCGTAGTTACCTTGGGGGAGCTTGTGCCTCAAACCCATTAAGACGTCGGTTCGATGCCCGACAGCACGATAAGCCTTGCAGGGTGACGGATAGGCCGCTGCTGTATGTAATGACCTGAGAGCTCCTGCGTGTGTGTGTTTGTGTTCTCATAAGCGAGGAGGTGTGTGTCTATCTCCCTGCTTCTCTATCCCCGCGGACTGCAACAACATTCCCTGTCACTGGTGCCGGGGTAAGAGAACAGAAGGGTGGATCAGCTGGGAGTAGTTGATGAAACAAATTGTGCGTCATTAGCACGGTTCCCGCTTTGTGCTGTGCATACTGTTAATGCAATGTGGTGGAGGTGAATCATGCACACGGGCTCAGCAAGGTGTAAAATTAGCAAGTACTGATTAGGCGGCTGTCTTGTGAAAACATCATGACACGGTTCTCCACAGACCAACAAATAGAGCCTCTACTGTGTAATGTAGGCGCACGTCTTTCGGAGGGATTGAAACACAGTTTCCCTCTGAGGGGACCAGGACGTCCCTGATACACCTGATAAATGCTTCGCTGAAGGGCATGTGGTTCTTTCGGAGAGCATCAATCTCTATTGCCTCCTCAAGTCGGGGAACAAACCGCCGTACCCGAGACTGAAAACAAACAAACAGTAGTTGTGATTTATCTCTAAGCTTATTCTTAAATTCTGCTTTATCGCAAGCGATGCATTTATTATTACCGTATTTTAATTATTACAAATTATTCCAAAGACATTTTTGTTTTGTTTTTGTTTTACTTTTTTTTTTAAATACACATTTTACACACAATACACACGCTTGTCCTTGGGAAAGAACCAGCCTCCTTTTCTGTCGTCCCCTGCAAAGTGCAGACACTCCAGCCCAATCAGGCTGTGTATATTGAATATATGCTGCCCTGTGTAAAAGCATCTACTAAATGCCTTAAACACGTGTAACTGATGAGTGTTCTTTTGTTCCTTGCTACAGATTTACAGAGTTCCTGGAGCCCTTTGAGAGAGTGATTCAACCAGAGGAGCTTTGGCTCTACAAGAATCCTCTGGTTGAGTCAGACCACATTCCCAAGAGGGTCATGTTCGTAAGTACCAGATTTCTATTCAACCATTTGCTCTTCTTATTGACTTGATTGTTGCCAATAAATACATGGTCAGTATTGCAATCTACATGAATTACATCCTGTGCTTAATGCTTAGTAATCGATGTGGTGCAGAAATCCTTCATTTAAGACGATCAATACTGCAAAGCTTCCTCTCTTCAGTCGAGGCCTGAATGGTGTTGGTAGATACAAGAAGGGGTCCACTAACTGTGGTCATTGGTGCATCCAATGTAAATATAATCTTCTCCCGGACAGAGGTGGGCGGTGAAAGGTTATGCGTTTTCCCTTTGGATCATGCTGTAAAATACAGAGCAAAATATTTTTGGCTTCAATAAACTTGGGCTCATTCCATTTTTATTGTGAGTCATACATTGTTGTCAGACTCGTATGGTTTCAACACAATTTCAAAATGTGATTATGGGGAAATATGAAAACACCCACAATGGCAAAAACAAATAAGCTGTTGTTAGACTTGAGAATACGGATCTATTTTCATCTGACTCAACAAAGAACATCTAACGACGTGAAATGGTTGCGATTGAGGAAATCACTATTTCCTGCTATTAAATTCATGAAATGAGTGAAATCACTCTCATGTCCGAACAAAAGTATAAAGCCACAGCCAGGAGGTGATTAGCATAAAGACAGGAAGCATGGACATGAGTTAGCCTTCAAGCATGTATAAAGGAGTCTTTTCTCTCCAATTCATTTTGTATATTTTTGGTTGTACTGAAACGAAGACGGGAAAATGAGATTCAGGGGTAAATGGGCAAAAATGATAAAGAGGAGTAAAATGGTTTTGCCGTGTAAGCAGGAACGCTGCGCTGATGTCAGAATGTGAGCTAGAACTGCTTTTTAACATGGCTCTAATGGATACCTTCTGAATGTGTCTTCCATGTCACTGCTCCGTCCCGATGATGATTGCATTTCATGATGAACTCTTTTTCCACCAGATTGAAGCGGGATCGAGTCTTCTTTCACAGGCTTGTTTTGATTGGGCTGTGACTTTTAGCTCGTCCATAGTTACAGTGAATTCTCTCTCAGGCTGACATGGATGCATTATTCATAGCTGGATGTCAATTTCGGCACGCTAACTTGCCAGATCGTAGGCACTTTTTGTGAGATACAACTTAACTGGCAAAGACCTTCCTGAGCATGGCTTGTTTGACTCCCCTATTTGCTAACTGTCAGTGACGGACACACCGCTGCGTTACACCACACGCATCAGTCCTCTCATCATGTGCAGAAACAGCTACAGAGGCGGAGAGCACTGTCAGTCATCATGAGTCAGAAATGACGACAGCGGCAGTAGATATACTGTATGTTGAGGCTCCGCTTAGAGGCGCTGGGGACCGATCAGCTCAAATAATTGTAAGCCAGTTTAAAGTGACAGAGTGACAGTGACGGGGCATTTATTCATAAATAGAAACGATTCTAATTAAAACAACCTCCACCACTCAAGCAGAAACCACACAGCCGCAAAAAACCACACCTGTCTTACTTTGCCATTAGTTGCCATTCGTCTGCTTTTGGCAAGACCCTAAAAATAATGAGTGGGGAAGTCTGCCCCCCCGCAGCCAGCATTGGAAGAAATGCTCCAGGTGGCGAGACCCAACAGACCGGCTTCTTGAATGTCATTGTGCTGACAGCAGCCCTGAAGGTGTGGTGGATTTATCTCTCCATTAAAAACAGTCCATGAAGCTATGACTCATTTAGATATTTGCTGTTATTATGCATGCAGCCTTAACTTAAGAGTCACTCTGTCGTTTTTGCAGGAATATCCTCCAGTGTTATTTGCTGAACACAAGGAGAGGAATCTTAGAGTAGAAGCGTGCCCTTTCAAGCAAATGTTTCCAGCTACATTACATTACAGGTTCTCGGATTTCACGGTTAAACAGATACACATACAGCTGACAACATATCAATCTTATTAATTACATGTTTGTATCTGAATTTTGGGTTGTAAATATGTTTACAAGCTTGAACGTTGAAAACAAAAAAAATCTCTCTATCTCTATCCGTCTGTCTGAGGCGCATCCCTATAAAGATAGTTCTCAACCTGTAGGTGGAGAACGGCATCTTAAAACTGTGAAAAGGATAATGAACATAGCCTGAAGATAGCCTTACACTACTAACCAATTATATTTTATTTTATTCCTCATGCACTATTGTCTTGTCGTCCATTGTCCTACTTGTCTGCTGTTACGCTCCAACCGCCAAGTCAAATTCCTTGTATGTCTGACATATTATGACAATAAATGTTTCCTGATTCCTGAACATTAATCCATCATAATGCACGTCTTTGTTAATGAAAAGGCAGGAATGCATCTTTGTATTTAAACGTCCACATCAATGCTTTCATGATTTTGACTGTTCACATCTTTGACTATTAATTGTAATAAACTTCAAGGAGTGCCTGTGTAGAATTGTAGGCTATAGAGATCATCTTCAAGTAAAATACTGGAGGGATAAAATACTGTTTAGAAATAGCCGACCCCCCTGCATGACTCCCTAGATTCCCTCACAGCATTTTTCTTTTGCAAACATGAAGGATGTCACTAGCTGCTGAGCACAGCTCTGTGATCCAGTTTGATCCAGTTGGGCTAGGTAACATTTAAATGCATGTACACTCGTTTTTTAGGTTAAACACTGTATAATAGCTACTCATTCTCCTCACTATATGGTGTCATCAGAACTGTTAAATGTGCAAGCCCCACTGGGCTGCATGTAATGTGATGTCGGCCATGATACAGCATGTACTGCATGGCTGTTTTATACCAAGTAAAGCTCAGCTTAAGCACCCAGTGGTTAGTTGCTACAGTATGAGTAATGTGACATTTTCACTCTACCTACACACTGCCCTTCAAAGGTTTCTAATATCCTCTTACATTCAGGTGACTCAGAGAACTTGAACATCCTCTTGAAAAAATTGATGTTATCTACTGTTAATGGGTGTAAATGAAGTTATGTTTAAAGCGTGTAAAGTTGTTATAATTAAAAAAACAGGTTTCTGTGTCAGTATCAAGTGCACAATAATTTCTCTAACAAGCTTGAATTAACAGATGTGGGCTGTTAATTATGTGCAGGGAACGCCAGCTCAACATGCTATGGCCTGTTTCCCCTCTTCCCACATCCCCTTTGTCTCCGGTCCTCTTCACTTCGGTCTCTGCGTCTGATGCAAACAGGAGACAAAGTTGACACACATACATCAAGCGCCAAGCCTACTCAAGGATTTTCATCTTCGGAGCAGGAATATATAGTTTTAAGATAAACATGCTAAAACAGGGGGGGAGGGAGGGGGGGCCTCTGGGCAAAACCAGGTGTTGGTAGTCGACCTCGGACGTGGACGGTCATCTTTGGCACCACAAGATTAAACATATCAGATGACCCAGAACACCATGTGCCTCTATGTGCAGAGAGCACAGACTCTCTGTCGTACTAAGGTGGAACGTTATTGCAGTTTTTCCAATAAGCTGATTTCAAACTTTTCTTACCAAGATCATAACTGTCGCTGCACTCCAATCCAAGTGTGATTGCATATTTGAATCCGGCTCCTTCAAAGAGGAAAGTGAGGTACAAAATTAATTTAAAATTAGCAGTTTCACTGAAGTACCCTCCTTTCATTTGAAAATATATAGAATTTGCCTGAAACATAATGAATCTATTGTGAAGCATGTGCTGGGTAGCCCCACATCTCTTATCTAGTGAGTGGAAGAATTCTTCTCTGCGCAGACAGGAGAGCCCGCTGAACCACAAAAAGGCTTATTTGGCCCCCTGGTTTGCCATATTAAAATAAACTGACTAATGGATAGGTTGGTGTTATTCCCTCAGTCCAAAATCAATTAACGATTAACCCGCAAAACAGATCCAGTGGAACGCTGCAGCAAATCCCTGATGACACAATGACTGTCAGATTCTAACCTTTGTGTCCTCAGGCCATTTCATTCCTTACCCCGTTGGCGGTGATATTCGTGGTGAAGATAATTCAGCGGACGGACAAGACAGAGCTCAAAGAGGCATGTTTAGGTACGTGAAGCAAATGACTTAAAATGTCCCACATGTGTTGTTGCAATCTTAAGAGAAGTCTTTAAGTGAAAGCTTATCTATTTATAGTATATTGTTGGCATTTTTCTTAAATCAAATGCTCTTCCTTCTTATGTTCTGCCTGCAAGTATGTGCTAAACGGTACCAACAAACAACTTTATTGGCCTAATAGTGCAGCTTGTTTAATTCTGTGACCTAATGTTACATACGGCACCACGCAAGTTAATCTTAATCACAGAAGCCTCAAGAAGGTACACACATTCTCACTCTATTGTTCTCTCTGTGCCCATTTCCCACCCTGTGGCAGAGGACATTAAAGAGCATTAAGCAAGTTTAACACAAATCCAATTAAAGAGACTCACAGAGTTGAATCCGATGGCTCAGTGTGGGGATCACAGTTCTCTGTCGCATTTAAAAGGACCATTATCGCCTGCAGAGAAGCACTTTACCAAGCTTCATGGTCGTACAAATCAACATCCCGCAGAAGAACAAAAAACAAAAGGGAGCCCATTGTTCTCACATGGTCACAGTTTGGAACACGACTCTGAAATCAGGGAAATGACAGACAGACGGATGAGAGAAGAACTTTCGGGCTGGGTCAAAGTGGCGATGCAGAGCCACTCATTTTGTCATCTCAAGCTTAAATTATAGAGAAGTACTTGATCCTGCAAAGTTATTGAATTCAAGGTTGCCCTGAGGGTCCTCCAAATTCACAAACTACAATTTCAAGCAGATGTTTTTGTACCTGCATAAATACAAGGTTTTTGGAGTTTGATTTTCACCCATATAATGCCAATGGGACTTCTAATATTGTGCATCTATTCTTTGAAACAGTGCAGTCACATCTGCTCCTCCTCCATTTTTCTTTGGAGTAAACAGAGCAAAATGTTCCCTTGGCTCGTCTAATAACCCTTTATCATTCCGAAACTCCCGCTGCTTAATTGTGTAATTATCCCTATCCCTAGTCACAATATAATGCAGTCATATTTTCCAAAAGACTACACACGGAGAACCACGCGGAGATGATTCTGCAGTGATTATTTTGGTTACGAAGCACGAATGATGTTGTTCATCATCTGAACGTGAGATCTCTAATCTTCCAGTCAGCGAGACAACGAGGGCGACACAATAGCAGGAGTTTCTGTGTTATCTGTATATTGGGTCTTATCTGTCAAAAGATTCACCAAAGCCTCGAGAATACATTTCAATCATTGAGAACATTCAGAAGATTTACGCGGGGAAATTTCTTTAGTCTGTTTTTTACATAACAGAGATTTTGTTCCAAGCAGCTTTAACAGCAAATCAGATTGAGTTTAAAGAAAGACCAATTGCATGAGTTCCTTTTACTTGTGATCAGATCTGACGTGCGCACAGACCCTAAAGGCTGGAGGTCAATACCGAAAGCAAAAAACGTTGCTGCTAGATAGTAAATGAGTTAGAGCAATAGATTCAAACAATAAGCTGAATCTGAACAGGGGCACACATTGTCATTTAATGTCGCATTTTTCAACTGGTCCAGCCGAACACGTCTCATTCGGATCCTTTGACCCCCCCGCTGAGTTTGCCCAAATTAACGAGCTGTTAAATAATATTGACACTGCGCTGGTCTCAGCGGCTCAGGAAGATAATATGGCTCGGGCCGACGTGGGTGGCATTCAATTGACCTGCACACTGCTGGGATTAACCTGAGAGGGCAGCGAGTGTGGCTAATGATGAGCCCCAGTGGTTTGCCTCCCAGCTAATTAAATGGACGTACTGTTACAGTGCAACGCTCATTGCCCAACTGTCAACCAACAGCAGTCCTGTAAAAAGTTGAGCTGAAGGACTAATTGCTCTGCAGTTAGATCGACTCTAAGAAGGTGCATCCATATTGCCAGGCCGACTGTAGCGAGACGTTTGCTCCCAATTACATATCTGGCTCACAGTAGCAGTGGCTTAAAGCAGTGGCTCGAAACTTTGTATCACCAGGACGTGATTCAGCTGTAGATGAAAGAAACCGGCCATGAATTTATGGATGTATTTGTCTAATTCTCTGGGTATGTTTGCGAATCTGCTCGCTACAGCTGCTACCTAGAAATCCCCAAAGAATGAATTCCTAAAACCTGACAACCATCTGTCCAGCGGCAATGAAAATACCCATGAACCTAATGGGCTCTTTTATTTGAACGTTACATCACACTGGTGCCAGAACATGATTCTTGAATCAATCGTACCACGGGAGCATCACTGTTTCTATGAAGTCTCGTTTGCTGACTGTCGGAGGCTGATTTGACCGTGTGTGTGTGTGCGTGTGCGTTTGTGTGTGTGGATCTTCCTACTCCAGCTGTGTCCCTGGCCCTCGCCCTGAATGGAGTCTTCACAAACACTATCAAGTTGATTGTTGGCAGGTACGCTGATCATCCTGGAGCATTTTTCCGGCTCCTTTAGTGATGCTATATCTCTGCACATTTTTTCAGCTTTGACTAGTTTGATGGACAATAAATTGTTTAGCAACAATCTTCTCAGGGTTGTTTTTCCATTTTCAGACCAAGGCCCGACTATTTCCATCGCTGCTTCCCAGACGGACAAGTGAATGCAAAGATGCTGTGCACCGGGGAGCCAGATATGGTCTCCGAGGGACGCAAGAGCTTCCCCAGCAGCCATTCCTCCTGTGAGTCCCAGCTCTCCTTTGTGGCAGATGCCCGCTATCGCTTGCAATGCACATTACCAAAATCTATCCCAAATCACCATCCGGCTCATTAAGACTGCGTGCAACCGGAGCAACTGGAGTACGTAGCAGTGTCTTCATTCAATTTACGCATCCCGAGGAAGATGACTGAGACCCTCTCGAGTTGAATGATTGAGTCAATTGAATTCAATCTGGCTCATTTGGTGATCAGGTGAACGAATGAGAGAGGTGAACGAACACCCACTGCTTCAGCTCAGTGAAATTTGCAGCTGTGTACAGCTGTGCACACCAACGCGCGACACTGGACATCATTTCCCACCATATTGTTTTGCAAGCTGTTAAACAATTCTAATGTTTTCTCTGTGGTCCGATGTGATGTCCACGGAGTGTTCGATGTCAGCGGCCACACGCGTGTTGGGTAGCTGCTTGGCACTGAATGGTGCAACACCAGAAGAGCCGTCTTTGATGAAACACACTCGTCAAATTTCTTTTCTCTCCCTCGTTCCTGTGACTGCATACATGCAATTACACTGACTGCATATATTGAAATTACACTGAAACGCCTGCTATCTATTATGCAAAATGAAAAAAGATACATATATCCTCCAGTCCCTTGTTGCACTCCCAGTCTTTAATTAGGCACTTTGAATACGGAAAGGTTTGTTTTAAGTTTCATATTTAAGTGTTACATCTCAGTTCAGGAAGAAGAAGTACACTAGAGTGCGTATGTGTGTCTGCAAAAAACACTTGTGAAGGTGTTTGGAAGGTGTTTAATTGAAATGCTTCTTCTCCTGGGACTCCCTTCAACTACTCTGTAGCACGCTGGAAAATCAGCAGCAAGATGGATGAGATTTCAGCGCTGCTGTAATTTCATGACCCAGTCTGATTGCAAATCGATGCCTTGACGTTATGTTGAAGCTGCACACGTACAGCCTCTCAGACGAAAGCTTTAAATAGAACTGCTCCGAAGTCCTGGCTGTGTTCCATTAAACGCAGAGAGGGACCTTTCTCCGTACGTCACTGCAGCGCTCTGTATGGATTAGAACCATGCGAGTGAGAAGGCGATTAAGAAAATTGTGCTACGGGGACACAGGGAGCACCCGCACGCCGCCACGTCTGGAGAGCAGAAGAAATCCAATTTCCTGTCTGTGTCCCCCCTTTTCACCAGGACTACGCCGGGTGGACCGCGCGTACGTGACACAGCCTTTGTCCAGACGGACGTGGGAACAAACAGGGAACACGTGCAGACCAATAGGAACAGTGAATGTAGCGTTAATCAAAGTGGCATCTGGACGTAATGCAACACATGTTGTAACGACGGTGGCTCTGAGGAAAACAGCAAAAACGGCAAATAGGAAAACACAACGGAAAATCGGAAAACACAACAACATTAACTGCTTAGGAAAGGGTAGGGCCTTATAGCAGAAGGACAGATCCTTCTGATTGGACAGACAGACTGTCTTTGGCCATACTTCGTCCCCCCTGCAATTTTAATTATGCTAATTTTACACAGAATTATGTTATTTAGATGCAAGTGAGGGACACACTTAATGTCCTCCCTCATGTTTTATAGACCCCCAAAGCAATTATATTAGTGTAATCAAGATGTCGACTCACTGTCTGCAGACATATTGCTTGTATGTCATGTAAATCTGTGCTACAAGTCTAGTCATCAGACCATCAGAAAAGCTTGCACAATATTATGCAATAATCGACTGTGTAGTGTGCATACAAAGTAGACGTAATAATCCTGACGTCACCCATTAATTTGTAGACTGTCAAGTTTAGTGTTTTTTCCATTGCCATCTTTGAATTAGCAATGAACAGAAGTTAATATTAGATGTGGAATGTGAAGTGCCAAAGAGATGCTGGATGCACCCATTGCCGTGGCAGCAAGCGGTCGATCACTGTAAGCCCGCCCTAAAACATACACTAATTGATGTCTATTTGACCCTTAATGATCCATAGTTTACGAATTGAACATTGTGCAGTATTGAAACTCGAGATAGAGACCATCAACTCATGTGTACAATGTTTACTAAAGGGGAATAAATCAGCTGTGAAGTAGTCATTTTCTCATAGACTTCAATGCTATCAGGCTTCTGTCGCCCCCTGCAGGTTGGTACAGAGAATGCAAAATCGAAGACACCCAAATCGTCTTCTCTCTGAACATAGCAGCCCTACACCCATAAATAGCAACACAAACACATAGGTTTGTGTTGTGTTGTGTTGTGAAAACAGACCATTTGCATGTTTTTAGAGCGTGAAACCAACAGTGTCAAATAATATGTTTAATAAAAAATGTTTTATCTCAGCTATATTAAATTAGTTAATTGGTCACTCTTTAGGGGAAACTGAAAGAAAGACCACGTGTTGTGGAAACCAGCGGCGGCCGCGCATTTTCAACCTGGACCTTCTGTGCCGTCTTACTACAGCTGAATAACCTAATAACCTCATTATGACGCCACTGTTAAAGGTTATTATTTGTTGGATGAATTCACATAACACTGTAACATTTTGAGTGAAATAAAATGTTACATGATGCTGAACACCTACACATACATTAACTGCAGATACATGAATATACCATGACAGGATGCTGCGTAATTAATGGACAATAAAAATAGTCAAATGAATGTAATTTACTCAATGACAAGAGCATCCTCACAAAAAGCAGTCATATTTATTTACAACAAAGCATGACAAAACAATCCATCAAAACTGCAGCACTAAACACTCAAGAGCACAGGCCATTCAAATATTATTTACATCAGACGGTGATTCTGCTTAGGCCAGCAGAGACAGCCCACCACTGTCGAAATGTTCAGCAGTCATTGATTCATAGATCATTGAGTTCTGTCTATCCAAATGAATAATGTAATCTTCTTAGCCTGGAGAGCTATCAACATGAATGAAAGGATCCACCGTGTGCTTGGAAATTTGGAGAGTTTGCAACAAAGAACAACATTATAGCCATGATTTCCAAGGTTTGTGACTATGAACAACCATTCTTTAAAATCCATTATGGACATGTACCACATACTATAATGAGCTAAATTGTGTGAGGGCCCTCTGGCTTTGAGCAGAGCCTGCTGTACATGTGTGTGTGTGTGTGCGTTCGTCCCTTTGTCCTGTCTTGCAGGTCCATGGTAGGAGGAGCTCGTCAGCGCAACCGGAAGCACCTGGCCGGTCTTCCGGTGGTATCTAAGACCCGTTCGCCCCGGTCCTAGCACTCTTGGTTTAGCAGGAGCCTCTCGGCTTTGTTTGTGGGAGCTTCGTTTCTTTGTGTTGTTGGTTAATGAAAAACAAATACATTTACGTGCCGCCTACAACCTCTGGTTTCTTCCATTTTTGTCACGGCCCAGGTTGCCTAGTGGAGTTCCTAATGGAGCCAATGCCTGCTCCCTGACAGCAGGACCTCTGCTCTCTCTACCCACGCACTCCCTCTCTGCAGGCTGCATGTTTCCAGCAGAGCGGGCAGTATTCTTGGCCAGTTTGTGAGCAGAGGGACAAATGTTCTGTTTGACCCGCTGAAAATGTAGAGTAATGACCGAGCCTCGGCACCAGCATTTTACAGATCCGCACAATTTGATATAATTGGAGACCCGCTGGTTCTCTTGCGCTACCATCAATTCAGCACCGGTGGTCCAGCAGCTCAATTTCATTAGTTTCTGTTACAGGGCTTTAGCTTTTGCCGTGGCCTCCGGCTCTCATGCTTAATGTGGGCATTTGCGGAGGAGTTGCTTGACGAGACGGGCACACTGCATCCACTACGTATCAATGTATCAAGCCCATTGTAATCTGTTGTAATACTGTGTAATTTGGGACTGGCTCGGCCTACTGTCGTATCTCAGTCTAGCAGTGTTTGGATAGAAACGGGTCATTATGAATCTGTTTTAGTTCTGTGTATTGGCTCAGTGATGCACACTGAGGACACGTAGATTTGCCCTAAATAAACTCTCTAAGAACGTCTCCATCAGTCGCCGGGTCGAGCTTCGCGTGGCTGCCGTGTTGCACCGAGGGATTTAGCGTGGAGGTATTTTTCTGGCGGACGGAGGTTTCATCCCTCAGTGAGCTCACCTGCTAGCGGGCGGCCGTAAACAAACTGCCAGTCTCCCATTGGCCTTCTTCATTACCTTGTTGGGCCTGAAACGCTTTGCCATTACAATATAGCTTATTGTGTCATGCTGACTGTAAACCGTAGCACACCTTTCAATCTGGCAGCGTAATAGACTTTTACAATAAAGTCCCTTGAGACATAGTCACGGTTTACTGTGTCGTTGCTGATACACACTATTGTCTATAATGTGCATGCTGTTTTTGATCCATCCTTTGTCTGCCCACTTCTCTGCCTGCTGCAGTTGCATTCTCTGGCCTCGGCTTCACCTCCTTCTACCTGGCGGGGAAGCTGCAGTGTTTTACGGGTCAAGGTCGAGGACGCAGCTGGCGTCTCTGTGCCATGGTGCTGCCTCTCTACAGTGCCATGATGATCGCCTTGTCCCGGACCTGCGACTACAAACACCACTGGCAAGGTCTGCAAAACCGCTTTAGTGTGTTAGTGTTGGGTCTGCCTGTGTCAGTCGGAGTAAGGATTGCTGTGCAGGAGTGCATCTCAATCCCACCTGCTTCAAGGTGCTTTCTAACACAGATCATGTAGAATGCAAACTCTGGGTGATGCTCATTTCATGCAGCTCTACTGCTGTCATCTCGGCAGCTTTCTTTTTTCCCCAACTCACTTAACATGTTAATGTATAAGGTGTAGCATAGAAACTGATGACAGATGGCAACAAGGTGTCATTTAATTCAACCTGGGAAGAAAATTGTAATTACAGGCTACAGCTTTGCATACGGTCTAGAAGTGGGTTTGGGGTGGAAAATGAAATGTGGCGATGCGAATCATATGGTGTTAATTAGTTTTAGGGATCCATATGTTCCCTGTGAACAGCGCAGCCAAGATTTATTTACATCCAAAACGCACCACATGCAGGAGTTGCAGGAGAGCCAACCACTTTCTGAATCTCAGTATTTCCCAAAATATCAAGTCACCGTCTATTGAAGCCAGTGCATTGTAGAGTTAAGCCATGATGGAAATCAACTTCGTATTATCTTTTCTTTTCACACAGTAGGAGAAGATAAAGAGACTCGTTTAAATGGATGGATGTGATTTTGATGTTATTGAATCCTCAGTTTCAGCCGACAGATGGTCATGTCATTTTGAGCGATACCCAACAATATAGGCTTAATTTTCCCTGTGGCAGCGTGATATTCAATGATGTATCGTAGCTTAAAGGGGGGCAGGTATAACGGGTGCTCAGCAGAGATGATAAAAGGATAGAGACAGCCTGTCCAGAGGAAGGTGAGCCTCAGTGGAACAGATTCATCGCTTTGCCTTTCAGTCTGCTTTCACCATGCTCTATAAAGTAGTCAGCTGTGATGAATGCTCACGAGGACACTCTTTACACAGCCTCCAGTAATGCCTAATCGATTGTGTCTACAATGCTGTTTTTTCTTCTTTGTGGCCTCTTTTCCACTCTGAATGCATATCTTAAAACATGTGTGGGTTTTTTTTGTGAATTTTGCAGACGCCTTTGTCGGAGGAGTGGTCGGCTTGCTCTTTGCGTACGTCTGCTATCGCCAGCACTACCCGCCCTTTCTGCACTTGGACTGCCACATGTCCTACGCCAGCCTGGCTGCCGTCGCCCACGTGCCCTCGCACCCCGAGGACGACCCGCAGCCCACGGACAACACAACCAGTCTTCCCCTGGAGGGCCTGAGTGAAGGGCCAGTATGACTAGTGGCCGCCGCCGCCGAGACTCCCCCCACTACCTTCACCAAGCCGCCGAGCCTCGCTCCCCTCGCCCCCCTCGTCACCCTCGCCCAGTGACTGACTGGCTCTCGTACACATTCCAGTGGACAAAAGTACGCCCCACCCATCCCTATGTTTCACCCCGTCTCGGTGACGCCTACAGTCATTATTATTATTTTGTTGAAAGTCTATTATTAGATGTGATGTGCGATAGGAAGACGTACACATATGGGACATCACCGCAGAGAGGGGAAAACCTGTTTTGGCTGGGAGGGAAGATGATATTATTTTTGCTGTGTTAATGAGAATTAACAATGCAATGGAATATCACATTCATCAAACCATTACGCTTACACTACTCTATGTGTCACACTAAGAAACAAATTATGGGATATTTGTCAGAAGACAATGTTGATACGTTTTCATTTGAAACAAAAGAACATGGAAACTGCTTAGTCATTTTTGGTTGTATCATTACAACACAAATGTATTTATAACCAACGACTTTTGAAAAAAAAGCACTGGTCCATGTCAAACACTCCCAAACTCTCATTTTTCATCCGTGCATTTTGCACACGTTCCCACGGAGGTTGTACGGGGACATATTCCCAAGATGTAGCTCAATGTGTCCAATCTATAACAAGGGGGTTGAAGTGTGTGCAGACAGGCACAAGCATAGATTTGATTCTGCATTAATCATCATCATGGGGACTCCGTCACGGCTGCTCTCGAGCGCGTTAGGATAATGTGAGAAGACCCACTAGCATCGCAAATCAGATTTCCCCCTTACTGTAGCCCCGCAAATAGACAAACCTGCATTCTGGAGACGACAGGACTGGGTGCAGCAATTAGGATCATTCATCCACAACCCTATTATTATATCCAGCCTTAATTGAGGGACAGCATGTCCAAAGTCCGGACTTTTCATTTCCCGCTTGGGTTGCATGCACCCTGTAATGCATTATTTAATTGAGAGGACACAATGCCTATTACAAAGCAATTTGTAGCATCTTGCAAGTTTTGTTAGGGAGGATGGCTTATTTTGTTGCCTTAGTTACCATGTGATTTTCCCCACTGCACTGACATAAATGGAAATGTGCAATCTTAGCTCAACGACAAACACAACACAACCAGTCTCCATGCTCATAGCTCCGAGGGTAGCGATTATATATTTGCACTGAAAAAACATGGGATTGCCAACTGAAAGAGAATGATACAAAACGAGCTGCAAGCCAAGTGTAGAAGTTTTACTCTCTTGCATGTATTACCTTGCAGAATGTTAGGTGGGTTTGATGGTGCGTTTGTTTCCACTGTCAACAGCTGAAACAGCAGCACCTTCAGCTGCGTACCATTTGAATACACAAGAAAAGATTTTCTCTAATTGCAATTCGTTTAAACGCGATTTACTCAAATCAGCCACAATCACGCCTCTCACTAATGAAACCCATCGGCAGCTTCTCCAAACTGCGTGCGCGTGCAGCTTAAGCGTAGGCCAATCCCACGCGAATGCAACACGAAATAGAAAGTTTACCCAGAATAAACCTTTCCCGAGAGAGGAAAAGCCTGCTGCACATCAGACTCTGTGACGGGACTTGACGAGACTCTGAGAGCTGAGTGGAGAGGAACATTTAACCTTCATGCTGGTTGTTATATTCCTCAGACCTGCATTTGCCTGACTTGGCATCCTGATTTTTGTACTTTTTCATTTTAGTATTATTCTATTAGATGGTGCAGAGTATATTTAAAAACAAACGTCATGTCCTAACAGTATTTTCACTTCAAATCATTCCACAATTTGTTTTAATTCGGTGCTATGGATAGTTTTGTAGCAATAGGTGTGAACTTAAGTCAATTTCTAGAAAGAGAGAAAAAAAAGATGATAATATTGTCCATATTGCTTTTCTTTTTTTCCAATTAGATGCACACGGGCAACCAGTGTTGTTGTTATTAAGTGGATTCTTCTCCATTATTTAACCTTCCCAAGGACTTAAGGGATGAAAGCTTGAAAAAAAATAACAATAATGAAATTAGTGTGAATTCTATTGAATAGATGTCTTTGTTTATGGCATGCCAGTTCTATATGTGAGAAAAGAGTGTTTTCTATGAATCCGCATGTCAGGCCTTGAGAAGTCTTTCAGCTGTGTTTTGCTGTTTCTCTACTTTGTGTACAATAAAGGACTGCAGCTCTGTGAAACGTAACCACGCAGAAAACAAAGAAGCCCAATGTACGTTGTCGAGGCGTGAGCGTTGCAGCGTACGCTTGTTGCTGTGACGGGAGCTCCGAGCCTCCATCTTCACTCTGATTCAACCCACTAATGGGAACGAAACCGATGTTTATGTAAAACATGTTCATCCTGTAATCGGACAACATGGATATTACTACGTTATTCTTTTCAAATGAACAATATGACATCAAGCATCCAGAGATGGTTAGAGGAGCGATGTTCCAAGTTCACATCAATGAATGTATGCTCCAACGGGCCTGCTGTCAGACAGCACAGTGCCACTGAGGCAGATGAGGGAGTGTCTGTGTGCGAATGTAACTTTGTGCTAAATGTGTGTTGTGCTTTACTGAATCGGTTGCGTTGCACTTTGTTTTGAAAGTTTCCAATAAACGTATGCTTAAGACTGCTCGTTGTCCTTCCTATCGGCGTAGAATCAGGTGCGTTTCTTTTTAGCCGTATAAACACAATAATGTATCCTGCTCTCTGCTATTTGGGTCTCAACCCAGTGTCCCGAGAGTGAATTTAAATGTCCTCGTTGAGCCCCTGATTCTTTGGTTCGTTACCAAAGTCATGTCATTCCCTGTTTTAGGACACCCTCTTTGTTTTGGTCACCTTCAATTTCCAAATGGTAACATCAAAAAAATATATACCGGGCTGGTAAATGTTAGCTGCCACTGCAAGAATGTTTCACTCCTAAAAATGATTCCTGCTGAATAGACCCTAGAAGATCAATAGAGTTGATATGTTAGACGTTTGCCCTCTTCGTCCGATAAATGTGTGTTGCTGGGTAACAGCCCGTTCAATGAGACCAGCAGCAGCTCCTTCTGTAACGAGTGGAGAAAGTCGCCCTGCTGGAAGGGCCTAATACAACTTGAAATATCCCGGCTTTGACTCACACTAGAAACGTAAAGGCAATTTGGACTAAGTTTCCAAAGAATTGCCTCAAAGTCCACATCTGGCAGATATCACTTACTTTAATGGGAGTTGACAGTGAATGCCGCAATACACCTAAAAGTCTAGGAATCACATGGACAGCCATTGTATCCCCTGAGCCAACTGACTTGTAGAAGATGTGCTCCATTGAGGTACATGATGCACAAAATAGAGACCATGTTCAGCATGGCAGAGGAGCTACAGTTTAAGGCGGGGTGCTGGGCAGCTATTTGCGTTCCTTTGAAATAAAATAAAAAATGGAAGATATGATTTTTCAGTCCAGAAATGATTAAAGTGCTCAACAGAAGGCAAGTGTGTCATCCCTCAAAATATCCGTATTGTTTTCCTGTCAAGGACGGCTCCCCGCCTCTGGATGAGCAGCAGCATTATGGCAGTCAAATCAACCAGGATCAAATGCATCAACATCTAATATCACTTAACATTGCGGTACCCTTCAAAACGCTTCATACTCCATCACGCTCAAAGGGCTATTTTGAAATAGATTTCATCAACCTGTATAGTTGAGATCCTTCGTAAACAGGGGTCAGTAACATGTTTATTATATTTTTTAAATAAGTAAATACGGGGACCGTGGTGCATGAAGTAGAGTGGGTTGGCGGTTCCAACCCCGGCTGTGTCCCTGAGCAAGACGCCCAACCCCTAACTGCTTCCCGGGCGGCATTACGCCAGCCCACTGTTCCGACTATGTGGGATGGATTAAATGCAGAGAACAATTTCCTGTATGTGTAATATAATACTATAATAAGACTAAAAATGTCTCCTTCTTCTTCAAAATACATACATATTTGTAAGAGCCTCTGCTTTGTTGCAAAGGTTGACCTGTGCTAGATCGCTTTGCTGAGACTTCCATATTACACTTTTTGTTTTTCACAAACAACTCCATACTCATTTGAAGTTAATTTGCTTTTTTTCTGTAGTAAGTGACGTCTATTATAAGGAACTGAATTATTACAACCTTAAATATTTCAGCATTTTTCTTGTCCCCTACTCTATATTTTTTTATTGCTTTTTTGACAACGTCTGAATAATAAATGGACCTGGAGTCAGAAGAATGGGGCAAATAAAGGAATTGTTAGACAAGTTTATTATTAATGGCTCAGTTATATCTGTTAAAAGTCATATATGTGGAGTCATAACAGATATTGCATAAAACTATGCAGATCAGTCTCAATAATTGCAAATGCACACAGAAAGTTTCACAAATGCACAGAGAAGGAAGTACATTTCAATGCACATATCAATAAATTATATTTGTAGAATCTCGTTCAGTAAAATGAACAAATCTTTTGATAATGGTCCAAAGACTCATACCCGAAAACCCAGTCGAGGAATGAACAAATATTTCTATTTCGGCCACGAGAAAATGAACAAATCTCTCTTTGAGAGGACTCGTTACTCCCGAGTTCTCGTAAGGATTCGTTTTTTCACGAACATATCACTAGTTCAGCAAACAAGGGCATCTGGTAGTGACGACGCACCGAGTAAGTAAAACAAGTTTAAAGTTTCATTCAATTCAATTCAATTCAATTCAATTCATTTTAATTCAATTAAATTCATTTTGTATAGCCCAAAAGTTACAAATTTGCCTCAGAGGGCTTTACAGTCTGTACACATACAACATCCTCTGTCCCGAAACCCACCATCGGCACAGGAAAAACTCCCCCAAAAATGAAAAAAACCCTTCCAAGAGGGAAAAAAGGGAAGAAACCTTAGGGAGAACGTCAGAGGAGGGATCCCACTCCCGGGATGGACAGACTACAATGGATGCCATGTGTACAGAATGAACAATGTATAATACATGCAATTCCTATGACAGAAATGATTCAAGTAATTGTGAGTAGTAAGCCAGGCGCACAGCAGGACCACTGCAGGGGCAACCACCATCAGATAGAACCACCATCCACAGAAGCCTGTGGGGAGGGAGAGCACAGAGACTTAAGGAGAGGGTAATGTCGGTTTACGAGTACAGTAATATGATTAATATCTAAAATAATAATGATGATGAT